TTTATGGGAGTTGGTTCTCTCTTTCCACCATGTGGGTTCTGGGGGTTGAACTCAGATTGTTAATCTTGGTGGCAAGAGCGCTCAGCTCTTATCTAGGAATTTACTGTATTTTATCATTTCCAATATTGTGGCAATATGGCTATCCAGTTGTTTGGACGAGTTACTGTTCTTTTGTTTTGTTTTTTTCCGAGACAGGGTTTCTCTGGGTAGCTTTGGTGCCTGTCCTGGATCTCACTCTGTAGACCAGGCTGGCCTCGAACTCACAGAGATCCGCCTGGCTCAGCCTCCTGAGTGCTGAGATTAAAGGCGTGCGCCACCACAGCCCAGCCCCAGTTACTACTGTTCTTAGTAGGAAGAATTTCCATTGCTTTGGCTCTAGGGGTTATAGATGTAAAATAAAATTACTCCCCCCAAGGAAACTCCCTTGGTAGAGTTAATACAGAGCTCTGGCAGTTTTACACTGTCTCGACTTCTTCTTTATCCCAATTTACTGACTAGTAAGGGAGTGGTGAAAAATTGAGTCATTCCTATCATGAAGATTTGGTTCAAGGAATGTAAGACGTTTGGGTAAGCAAACAGTTGGTACCAAAACATGCCTAATGATGAAGGCACGGTAACATTAAAGTCATCAAGACCAGCATTATTATCATTAAAAAAACATACAGAGGTAAACCCCAAGTGTTTCAGGCAAGTTTTAAAAGAAATCCATCCTAAAAGATTAAGAATTAGGGCTGAGAGATGGGTCTGTGGTTAGGAATATTTGCTGCACAATCATGAGGACTGGAGTTTGAATCCCAGCACCCAGATAACAAGCCAGGCACCCCAGTGAACATGTAACACTGTTGGAGGCATTTGGATAAAATGGAACGTTTCAGGTGCCTCATCCAGTAAGGGATAAAGCATGAAGCCTTTGTTCTCCAAGCCTTTTACCCCCTTAAAGCAAAGTCTCCCTGGGTACCCCTTGGCTGGCTGGAACCCAGACCCACCTGCATCGGCCTCCTGAGTGCTAGGAGCAGCGATTAAAGGTCCGTTATCACACCCGGCTGGCCTAAGCTTGGTTCTTGTTGTTGTTGTTTGTTTTGTTTTTTTATTTTCAGACCTTAATGTTTGAAGAAGTGAGTCAGGTTTCACTCTTGCATCAGAGCATCATTGAATTTTGACCTAAGGAAGTTAATACCTTTAATTATAGCAAAGTCATATAAGATTTATCTTTTACAAACCCTCCTAGGACCTGGCAGGTCGTTTGCGACACACTTTCTGGTTTGGGCCTTATCTTTCTGTTTCTATTCTAGAACAATCCTTTCCTTTCAGGGGGCTAGAACAATCCTTTCCTTTCAGGGGGAAAAAAAACTGTATTTTACATTAAAAACTTTTTAAACTTAAAAAAAAAAACACTTTAATTAAAAAAATTACACCTTTCTCATATTTGGTGGTTCTTCTATTTTTCTTCACAGAATTTCTCAGCTTAGGTCATTTCCTTCACAAGAATAACTATATTTCAGTGAAAACCCAGGAAGCTATACGTATAAAGGAAAAAATGGACATTACACCTTAAATATCTAATAATGACAGGCAAATTATAATAATTTCCTGTTGATATGTTTATTGTCTCTTACCAACAAATTTAAATGAAGTTCTTAGATTTGTTTGGATTTTATGAACTAGAAGGAATCTGTACTAAGTTTATAATACATGAGCTCTTAAAGTCAATTTTAATCAAACTATTGGGGGCTTATTTTGTAAACAAACCAAATAACATTGCCACACCCATTATGCTTCAAGATGAGGGCATGAAAAAGACAGACATACAGACGCAGGGAGATGCTAGGATCCAACGACTGGGTTCTGATAGAGAAACCACAGCACTCTGGAAGGTCAGAGTTTCTTATCTACAGTTGAACAGGGAGGTGGGGCTGTTGCATACAGCTGATTTCAGGAGGCAGGGTTACTAATCTTGGTAGACACAGTTTCTATAGGGAAGCAGTCTTCAGGCCATAAAGGCCAGGAGGAAAAAGCTATGGTGGACATTTTCTGTATGACTATCAGTGTTCACACTTGGACCCCCAGAGTAAGGCTTTGCAATCTCTTTGAGCCTTATGCCTTGCCCATGTCAACAGCATACATTCATGCAGGACTTCACTAATTTTGGGCTTCCTCTGTTCCCCACAACATACATCTAAAAGCAGTGTACAGAAACATTGATAGTCTCAAGATGACATAACTTTCTCTAAGTTCTAGAGCCTAAAGCCTAGTTATAATATAAAGCATTAGACCATGGTGCAGACCTGTAATCCCAGCACTTGGGAGGCAGATGCAAGAGGATCCACCAGTTTCAAGGCCAGCCTGGTCTAGATAGAGGCCCACACCAGCCTGGGGTACACAGTTGGAACCCTGTCTCACAAACAAAACACAAAGCAGAGACAAAGTAATGGTGGTAGTGTGGGTAGTCATCCGACATGAGCAGTGGGGGGTCAGGAGGTGGTTAAACCCTGCAGTCCTGGGAATGAGCCGCTTTACAGGTGGAGGTGTCGAGGATGAGTGTGTTCTAACTGCCTGTCAGGGGCCGACTGTTGCCTCCAGAACAGAAAATGAAGGGCCCTCATTCAAACTCTTTTCAGAAGTAAAAGAAAAAGAAAATCTTAAAAATCTGTGAGTTCTATGCTTTAAACTAGGATGAGCTTGGGATAGTCATCTTGAGTAACCAAGTATGTTAGTTTTCAAAAGAAGCAAAAAAAAAAAAAAAAAAAAAAAAAAAAAATCCCCAGCTAGTTAGACCAAGGGACAAAAAAAAGAACCCTGTATCTTGGAGTCATAATCAGAATGTCAGATCAAAAAAAAAAATGTCAGATCATGGACATAGGTTTATAGACATATGACAAAATGACACATAAACAGTTAAATGAAATCAATAATTATGAACACAAACAAGAAAACACAACACCCAGATATAATAAGATCACGTTAAATTAGAATGCACCCAGGAGAAAGAACCCAAGCAGTAAGCTCATAGGCATGTCCTTGAGATGGGAGAGGGGCCCAGAGAAAGGCAGAGAGGTCAAAAGATGAAACTTGACCTACCACTGTAGGTGAAGAACTCCCCTTGAGAGCCACAGAGGGGCCGCCCTCCTCATGGAGATTTCTAATTAGGAAAACCCAGAGAACACTGGTGTGTGAGTCAGTAGAGTAATGTAAAATCCTTAAAGAAATCCCAGAGTGTCTTTTCTTTTATTGAAAACATTTTTCGGGTAATATATTCTGATATGATTTCCCCTCCCTCCGTCCTAGTCCTCCACCTCCTCTCCCATCTGGGCCCACCCCTTCCTCTCTCTCCTTAGAAAACACACAGGAATAGTGGTCTTCCATCCCAGCACTCGGGAGGCAGAGCCAGGCGGATCTCTGTGAGTTTGAGCCAGCCTGGTCTACAGAGTGAGATCCAGGACAGCCAGAGAGAAGGGGGAAGACAGAGGAGGAGAGAGAGACCCTGACTCAAAAAAGAAAAGAAAAGAAAAGAAAAGAAAAGAAAAGAAAAGAAATAGGCATCGATGGGGTAAGAGTAAAATAAAATATACTAAGATAGATCAGAATAGGACAAAACAAACAAAAGGAAAAGAATCCAAGAGGAGGCACAAACAGATATAGATGCAGAGATGCACTTGTTTGCACATTCAGGAATTCCATAAAAACACAAAACTGGAAGTCATTATACTCAAAACCTGTAGTTAAAAAAAAAAAAAAAAAAAGCCCTGCATGCACCTCAGCCCCAGGGTGTTTCCTTTTTTTTTTTTTTGTTTTGTTTTTTCGAGACAGGGTTTCTCTGTGTAGCTTTGCGCCTGTCCTGTATCTCATTCTGTAGACCAGGTTGGCCTCGGAACTCACAGGGGCCTGTCTCTGCCTCCCAAGTGCTGGGATTAAAGGCGTGCGCCATCACCGCCTGGCCCCAGAGTGTTTCTCAGTATGACTCTGAAATCCCAGAATTGGTGCTCTGAGCCCAGGCTTGTCCAGGGATTAGATACCGTCAGGACCTCTGCTCCCTCTCGGCTTTACCTCAGCAGTGTTGGGATACTTTCCCCTCTGCTGTGGAATTGTTCTGCGTGGGGCTTGCAGGAGAAGAGACTGGGAGAGGCGTGTAAGGAGGAGGAGGCAGCCAGGGAGAATACATGAGAGGAAAGGATTAGAAAAGTTAATTCCTCCAAATTCATCCTCAGTTCTCAACCTCTGAGATCCTTTCAAACAGGAACAAATAATGCAGCTCTAGGGGTTGAGTTTAAAGTCTGCACACATGAGACGCTGCTCTGCATCGCCAGCCCTAAAATTCTCATGGATTTCGGTAAGACGAATTGCTAAACAGTCTTATTAATAAAAAAAAAAAAAAAAAACCCTGAGTCAGATATTGGGGTGAAAAGAAAGATCAGAGGAATAGGACAAGCCACAGCCAACCTCACCTCACCAACCTTCAGCCTCCAGAGAGCGCTACTTCCTGTGTACTCACGCCTTTCTGTGCCCTGCCGTCTTACTTCCTCTCTCTACCCAGCTCTGTCACTTCCTGTCCGTCTGTCCAGACCTCTGTGGTTAACTAGCACTGGGATTAAAGGTGTGTACCACCATGCCTGGCTCTGTTCCCAGTGTGGCCTTGAACTCACGAGATCCAGAAGGATCTCTGCCTCCCAAATGCTAGGATTAGAGGCGTGTGCTAGCACTGTCTGAACCTCTATGTTTAATATAGTGGCTGGCTTTTTTTTTTTTTTTTAAGATTTTTTTTTAATTTATTTATTATGTATCCAGCATGTATG